GACTGAGAAACAGCGGAATTCTGGTCTCCTGCTGCCCGGAGCAACGCTCTGATTTGCAACAAGCCTCTGCTAGCCTCTGACTGGGAGGGCTGAATCGACTCTGCTATAAGGGCCGCAGCCGCCAAATTCTGAATCGAAGTACGATATACCTGCGGGGGCGGAAAGAGTTGATGTCGACTGGATTCTGGAGCCCGTTGACGCGCTCGCCCGTCGAGTATTCGCTGGAGATTCTCCAGTCGAGTGTGCTCGGCCAAGTTAGCCAAGCGAGCGTCCTCCAAGGCTCGGGCCTCGGGGGTTTCTCCAACGATAGGAGTGTGGAGTGCATCCATGTTCCGGCGGCGAAGTTCCTCCCGCTGCAACGACGTGAGAGGCTCGGGGAGATACTCCTCGTGAGGACGCGATGGGTCGCCCCCATCCGCGCCTCCGTCAGCGCGGGGGAAACCGGGAGGACTATGTGGCCCATCGATCACCAGAACCTCTATAGCTGGGTCACTGCTGTCGCATTCGGATGCGGTCTCTGCGGAGCCAGTCGACAGGTCGAACAGGCCATAGAGGGATTCGTCGGGCTCGATTGCCGCGACTTGTGGGGTGGCCGACTGGCGGGCCACCGCATGCCTCACCCACCTCTAAAGCCTCGACCGACCGGAGCGCTTGCGCCGGCGAGAAACAGGGCGGGGAGATGCCACAGGAGCCGACCGATACTGGGTCGACGGCTGCGGCAGGAGGACACCACGGACGCATGCGCGAAAGTGCGTCGCCCCGCAGACGGGGAGCGCGTCGACGTCGAGTGGAGCCTCCTGAAGCCAAGCGGAGTCGTCGGCGATGAACGTGAGCGCGCCGAGACGGATCTCGCGGCCCTCCACCAAAGCTCCGCCCGAAACCATGATCAAGGAGATCGGAAAAATCGCAACTTCTCCAACTAGGCGCTAAGACTCCTAGCCCCACGGTGGGCGCCAACTGTCGTGGTTCTAACTCTGACAGTGATGTAGGGGGTAAGTATAGAGAGGCGAGGTCTTAGCTATGGAGAGGTTGTAAGGACGCAAGGTTTACGAGTTCAGGCCCTTCTCGGAAGAAGTAAAAGCCCTACGTCTCAGAGCCCGGAGGCGGTCGACTGGATTATGTGTGTATGAGTTACAGAGGTCCGAACCCTTGTCTCGGAGGAGGGGGGTGGCTTATATAGAGTGCGCCAGGACCCCGGCCAGCCCATGTTATGAAGGGTTCAATGTACATTAAGGTAGGGTGTTACTGATAACGCTAGTAATAAAGTGCTATGGTGACCATAAAAGCTACTTAATGACCGACCGTTAGCGTGCGGAGTGACTTTAGGTCTCCTGGCCGTCGAGTGGTTGGATCTTGGTCGAGTAATTACTTCTTGGTCGAATGTCTTCGAGTCTGTCGAGTGGAACACCTCCAAGTTGATTGAAAGATGATTTATTCTAGAGGTGTCCTTGGGTAGGGCAGTTAGGACAGGTCTGTGACCCTACCCTAGATACACAGCTTCATCAATCATCTCATACAATACAATTTAGCATCATGTCTTAACCATATCACATCACAACATGCCCTGCAAAAACAAGTTAGACGTCCTCTACTTTGTTGTTGCAAATTTTACGTGGCTGCTACGGGCTTAGCAAGAATCGTTCTTACCTACGCATCAAAACCACAACGATAGTTTGTCAAGTTGGTGTTGTTTTAACCTTCGCAAGGACCGGGCATAGCCACACTCGGTTCAACTAAAGTTGGAGAAACTGCCACCCGCCAGCCACCTGTGTGCAAAGCACGTCGGTAGAACCAGTCTCGCGTAAGCGTACGCGTAATGTCAGTCCGGGCTGCTTCATCCAACAATACCGCCGAACCAAAGTATGACATGCTGGTAAGCAGTATGACTTATATCGCCCACAACTCACTTGTGTTCTACTCGTGCATATGACATCTATGCGTAAAACCTGGCTCGGATGCCACTGTTGGAGAACGTAGTAATTTCAAAAAAATTCCTACGCACACGCAAGATCATGGTGATGCATAGCAACGAGAGGGGACAGTGTTGTCCACGTACCCTCGTAGACTGAAAGCGGAAGCGTTAGCATAGCGCGGTTGATGTAGTTGTACGTCTTCACGATCCGACCGATCAAGTACCGAACGCACGGCACCTCCAAGTTCAGCACACGTTCAGCCCGATAACGTCCCTCGAACTCCGATCCAGCCGAGTGTTGAGGGAGAGTTTCGTCAGCACGACGGTGTGGTGACGATGATGATGTTCTACCAACGCAGGGCTTCGCCTAAGCACCGCTACAGTATTATCGAGGTGGACTATGGTGGAGGGGGGCACCGCACACGGCTAAAAGATCAAACGATCAATTGTTGTGTCTCTAGGGTGCCCCCTGCCCCCGTATATAAAGGAGCAAGGGGAGGAGGTGCGACCGTCCAGGAGGGGCGCGCCAGGAGGAGTCCTACTCCTACCGGGAGTAGGACTCCCTCCCTTTTCCTTGTTGGACTAGGAGTGGAGGGGGAAAGAGGAGGGAGGGAGGAAGGAAAAGGGGGGGCGCCGCCCCCCTCTCCTTGTCCTATTCGGACTAGGGGGAAGGGGCGCGCGGCCCTGCCCTGGCCGCCTCTCCTCTTCTCCACAAGGCCCACTATGGCCCATTAAGCTCCCAGGGGGTTCCGGTAACCTTCCGGTACTCCGGTAAAATCCCGATTTCATCCGGAACACTTCCGATATCCAAACATAGGATTCCAATATATCAATCTTCATGTCTCGACCATTTCGAGACTCCTCGTCAAGTCCGTGAGCACATCCGGGACTCCGAACAACCTTCGATACATCAAAACATATAAACTCATAATATACCTGTCATCGAAACATTAAGCGTGCGGACCCTACGAGTTCAGAACTATGTAGACATGACCGAGACACGTCTCCGGTCAATAACCAATAGCGGAACCTTGATGCTCATATTGGCTCCCACATATTCTACGAAGATCTTTATTGGTCAGACCGCATAACAACATACGTTGTTCCCTTTGTCATCGGTATGTTACTTGCCCGAGATTCGATTGTCGGTATCTCAATACCTAGTTCAATCTCGTTACCGGCAAGTCTCTTTACTCGTTCTGTAATACATCATCTCGCAACTAACTCATTAGTTGCAATGCTTGCAAGGCTTAAGTGATGTGCATTACCGAGAGGGCCCAGAGATACCTCTCCAACAATCGGAGTGACAAATCCTAATTTCGAAATACGCCAACCCAACAAGTACCTTCGGAGACACCTGTAGAGCACCTTTATAATCACCCAGTTACGTTGTGACATTTGGTAGCACACAAAGTGTTCCTCCGGTAAACGGGAGTTGCATAATCTCATAGTCATAGGAACATGTATAAGTCATGAAGAAAGTAATAGCAACATACTAAACGATCGAGTGCTAAGCTAACGGAATGGGTCAAGTCAATCACATCATTCTCCTAATGATGTGATCCCGTTAATCAAATGACAACCCATGTCAATGGTTAGGAAACTTAACCACCTTTGATCAACGAGCTAGTCAAGTAGAGGCATACTAGTGACACTCTGTTTGTCTATGTATTCACACATGTATTATGTTTCCAGTTAATACAATTCTAGCATGAATAATAAACATTTATCATGATATAAGAAAATAATTAATAATTTTATTATTGCCTTTAGGGCATATTTCCTTCAAGTAAATCGACAAAAATCTCTTGGTGCACACGTCCTTGGTGGAAGAAATTAAAACTTTGCTAAAGTCCCGTCAAACTTGTACGACACATGTTAAGCATAGTCAAACGAAAGTGCCTTTTTACACCTGAGCTCATATGCTCCTGGTGTGAACAGTAAAATAAATAAAATAGAAAAATATTTCAAAAACTTCTGAATTTTTTTGTGACATGCTTTAAGAAATGTTTGTTGTGCATGTAAAATTCATCACGAAATCATATTGATCGAAGTCGTGGCAAAAAAAAATCAAAGCCCCAAATGCGTTTGAAAGTAACATTTACATAACATCAATTTTGTTTTCTTTACCACGCCTTCCACGAATGTCATTTCATGATGAAAATTTGCATGCACAACAAATATTTCTTAAAGTATGCTACAAAAAAATTCAGAATTTTTTAAATGCTTATCTATTTTATTTATTTTACTGTTCACACGCGGACATATGAGCTCAGGTGTAGAAACTCCACGTCATGTCTACTAGTCACTTTGTGGCCAATTATGCTAGTGCTTGTACGGCGGTTTGGTTATGCTTTGGTCATGAAGATGTTGACAGACTTCTACCATGCTGGTTGTAATTCTCGATGTTGAGTGTGAAGTGAGCAGATGAGCTCGGGAGCCAAATCGCTGCTCCCCATATATTGGGGAGTTTCCCCTTGGGCCCTGTCTGGATTGGGTGTAAATTTTGTCTGCTGCCTGTTGTTCAGTTAAAACTTGAGCTAAACACCATAGAGCACAAAAATTTTACCCTCGATCGAAGTGAGGCTTTAATCCCTAAAGTTTCACCTCCTTCCCGATTAAATGCCTGCCTGATTCTTGCTGCAAAAAATGGGTGGCCAGTGGTCATCTACAAAGGGTCCTCACCTAACGGGAAAGATTAGTGACAAAACTTCGATTTCTGCTTTCAGGCACATGTAGGAAAATAAACAGCAGTGGTATCCAAATTAACTTCGACATGATAAGCCTGCAGGGGCGACCAAGTAGATAGACGATTCAGTTTTCAGAACAAGCAGTGTTTAAAAGGCTCACATGGACCATAGGAACTTAGGAAGAGGTGTATGAAAGCCCGTTGTGTACATTTATTGCTCACATATTCGCTGTACCACAACAGTTAGTTGCTTGTTTTCTACAGTGAAACATCGGGGTAATATTCACAACGCTCCTCTCAAACATGAGGATGGATGCCATGTAACACACCCACTTTTATTTATTGTTACAAGCAAAGACACTCAGACTGTCAGTATACTAATCCCAATGGTAATACATTTCAATCATCTTTCTTGTGTAAGGCACGAGGCAGACTATTATTACCATTCAGGGCTGCATGGTACACTCGCTTCTCCGCTAACCCAAGATCTGAAAGAATCAAGTTTCCCTGAAACATGGAAGTCAAGAAGAGTTAATAACTTGGTATATACATCTAACACAAAAGATTTCAAAGGCTGATGGATCAACAAGAAAGATGAATATATGTACCTCCACTGCCATTAATTTCCGTACATTATCTGCGTAGAGCTTCGGATCATCCTTTTCTTGCTCAGAAGGATAGTACACAGGCAAATGCACAACCTCTAGATGATTCACAAACTGACAAAGGAGCAGAAATACATGGCGTGCCTGAAAGTTTCACCGAAGTTAAAATGGATACTAGATGCTCATATATGGAAGTGCTCTTTCGTATATTTAATTAACTGAGGTTATCTGGATGACTGCTAAAATCAGTTGGGGTAACTTCAGGAAAGCACTCCCTCTGTCTGGAATTAGTTGACGCTCAAACGGATGTATCTAGCACTGAAATATGTTTAGATACATCCGTTTGAGCGTCAACTAATTCCAGACAGAGGTAGTACCATAGAACACACTCATTATGGATGCACCTTACAAACATTAGAAAACATGCTATAACCATTATTATCGAATGAATTGCGCACAAGTCTTACTCCCTCTGTAAAGAAATTCAAGATCGTTTAGATCACTAAAGTACTAGTTTTCTCAGGTCAACTGTCCATTATATGTAATTTCTATATAAACTGTTTTAGACTTTAGGGTGAGAAAATAAATTAAGAAAACAAAAGGTGTACCTCAGTATATTCCATTGTGAAAAAAATATAAAGGATACATGGGCAAAATGGTAGCTAATAACAGGAAGTTCATCAATGTAACGTCCTGAATATATGCACTAATGAAACCAACACAAAATGATATCGATGAAATGTTATTTTAGTGAAGACATCATCAATTCTATAAAGAGCATTTCATTTTATTGTTCATACATGTGGTCATTATAGGCATTTGGAACTGACAAGTACAAATGTGTGCAGACTTGCCATTGACACTCACCCCATCCATGGAGTCCCATGCTGGACTGAATCTCTTGTAAGGGTATCTTAAAATGACAGGTTGAACTGGTGCTCTTGCAAGAAAGGCCCCTGTCTTGAATGGAAGGAGATAATCCCCGTTTGTAGTTGTGCCCTCTACAATTAGGAATATAACCAAGTGTAAGTAAGATGCATAAAACGAAGACTATATATAAAAACAGAGGCAGATTTACAAACACTTAATCCAAGTGCTCTTGGAGCACAATACGTAATTTCACAATTTCAGTTTTGAGTACAAATATAGAAGAACTCCCTCTGTAAACTAATGTAAGACGTTTTTGCAGTCCAAATTGAACTACAAAAACGTCTTATATTAGTGTATGGAGGTAGTAGTAAAATAGATTGTGCTAAATTTGAACAGCTATAGCATGAAATATTGAAGTATCTTTTTATATAAGGAGCACGTAAACATATGCATACTTAAAGCCAGTGCAGTTAACAATCCAAATTCATCAAGCAGGAAAGCTACTGCAAGTCAAATACAGATACAGCATCTCGATCTTATATCAAGATTGGATTGCAATCCCAGCAAAAAGGAAAATAAGATTAAAATAAGACTAGTCACATCATAGATGTAATTAGAAGATATAGTGAACAAACAAAAATATACTCCTAAGAACAAAATGCGTTCCACAAGAAAAGGAAAATATACCAGGTCACTAGCAATGCAAATATGCATCACAGAAGAACAATAAACTAGAAAATGCTTAGTTACTGTACATATGCAGATTGAATGGCAAAAGAAAGAGGTATTATTATACACCAACCAGGAAAGAGCAACATCATTGGAGAATTCTTTTGCTGATGAGCTCGCTGGATTCTTTCAGTTACAGCACCTGTATGGTACAAATTAGAAAGCAACAACAAGCAAAATAGAATGGCGTAAGGTACATTGTTTCAACAAATCCTGACCACAAAAAACAAAGTCATTTATGTACAAACAGAAGTGAATCTATCTGCAGCAACTGCATATTCAACATAGAATGATATAGGGTATGTTGTTTCAACAAGCCTGACCACAAAAAACTAGCTATTTTTGTATAAACGGAAGTGAATCTGCCTACAGTAACTGTATAAACAAACGTCAATTAAACTAACAGTTCAAGACTGGCATGACTATATTGAAAGGTCACCAAGATGATGATTATGAATAAGATATACTTGTAGAGTGCAGGCACCGATCAGTTTGTGGAGATTCATTGTGCCAATATAGTAACTCTTCGAGTATGAATTGCATAAGCCATAATCTAAGCATGAACCACGACGATGAAAAGAAATCCATAACTGAAGCATGAGAAACTTTAAGTATGATCACTTAAGGTTAGATATCGTCATATACCTGAAACACCTTTGAAATCCGAAGTTTTAGACTCTCGCTGAACAAAAATACAACCAATGCATTTGCTGCATCACAACAGAAATCATGTTGTAAATTCAGTTAACAAAAAATACAAGCAACTGTCTAGCCATATACTATCCGCTAAAATACAATGTTGCTCTAACCAAAAAGGAAAGAAGTCCACATAACCCCCCAAAGTTTCACGAATCGGACACTTAACCCCCTAAACTACAAAACCGGGTATTTGGCTCCCTGATGTTTACAAAACCAGTCATATCACCCCCTCACTCTGTTACAAGTGGTTTCAGCAGGTGGTTTTGCCACACGGTTGAAAATACACTACACAGGAACTGCCAAAGGAGAAAAATCAAACAACCAAATATGGAAGCACGGAAACAGTTTAAGCCTGGAAGCAGTTTAAGCATGGAAGCTCAAACAATGCATGCATGCACATGTGAGCATGCGTCCAGCTGCTATTCCTACGCAGTCTAAGCCTCCAGGCAGAGGCAGACCGACACCTTCAGGAAATCCGGCATCTCTATGGCTCTAGCAATGGCTCGAGCTCGACGACTTTGTCCTTGCCCCGTTGGTTCATATGTATAACGCGCCGGCCCTATGAACGAGGGCGCACCACACCTGAAGTCCGTGTCGCTGAGCGACATGCCCATCTAGCTAAAAGGGGATATGTGCGCGCGGGGATGTTGCAAGTCAGCCTGTCCATAACGTCGACGAGTCATTGCAAGTAGCGTAGTCGGTCCCTGGCTAGTCGCTGCACTGTAGCAGATTGGGCTGGAAATCACTTCTCCAACGGTGGCCGCCATCGATGTGTGGATGACCACATTGCCAGAGCAGCCCGGCCGGCGGGTGCAGTTGCTGTCCTGAGGTGCGTACATGTCGATCATGGACCCATGGGGTAGAGCCTTGTGTCCACACCCGGCGGCAGTGCCTGCTTGCGGCACACCACCCAGTAGTGCCTGACGGCTGTTTGTGCTCCTGTTTTGGATTCTTTTGATGGCGGCAGGACGAGCAGTAGTTGGAGTGGTTCATGTCACTGGCGCGTAGCAGGCGGAATGAGGGTTTAGACCCGCCGCAAAGACGTGTGCAGGTTCCTGGCATGCATGGTTGCGCCAAGTTAGACGTTAGTGCAATGGCATCGCTAGAATTGGGTGTGGCAAGAGCTCCACGAGTTCTTCATATCCATGGACGACAGCAAGAGAAGGCCCTCTCCGGAGCTGGACCCAACAAGCGACGAAGCCAGGGTGGCCATGGCGCTATGCTCTCGGGGTGCGTGGCCACGGGCTGAGTGGTTGGACACAAGCAACGGGGATGGAAAGGGAGCGAGAGGGAGTTGCAGCATGAGATGGAGGTGGGGATTCCAAAGGATGCACTGTTTGCTCGGCCCTTGGGCCGGCGATGCGCTCCAGGAGAAGCATGCCGGTTGTAGCCCAACACGTGGACAAAACACAAAACCACTCTTAAAACCATCTCCAAAGCTCCCGGGGGTGTTTTGAATGGTATTGTAAAATTCAGGGGGTGGAATACCCGGTTTTAAAGTTCAGGGGGTTATGTAGTCGTTCTGTGAAATCTCAGGGGGTTATGTGGACTTGTTTCAACCAAAAAGTAGAGAAGCAAGAGACTCAATACAGTAGAGAATGCTATTACCTTATGAGACCAACTAGGGGCAATCTGGCCACTGATCTCTTCAAGAATGATAGTCATGTGCAAAATAAGCATGTCAAAATCAATATATTCTGACGACATGATTTTCAAGAAATCATATGAATACATCAACATTAGAACATACATAACTGAAGTACCTTAGCAACAAAACTTGGAAGAGAAGATGACATGTGATAAAGAATATCCACATATGATACATGATTAGATACGATTGCCCCTGGTCTTTCCAATAATTCAGAGTGGCCCAGATCCTTGCCCTAAAAGAAATGAACTGTCCAGTTGGATATACGATAGACGCAAAAGCAGTGGCATGCAATACTCAATTATTAAAGAAGGTTAGGTAAACTGTTGAACAGACTGTTAACCTTATACGTACAAATACTCCATACTTAGCCATCTATTATCAGTCATCGTAACAATGTAACATTATTTATATTTTTATAAGAGAATAGAGATAGGTGTAGCATTATGGAACAAAGCCCAAGCATTCATAATCTGCATCCGTCTTAAATAGGAAACAAATTTAATATGTCATACATAATTCAGAACAAACACTAAACATTAGTTCAAATTCATAGTTCACTGACTAAAAAGGGAAATGTGTCACTTTTTTGTTCTCAAACATGAATCATTTTGTATTAGAAGAAACACCAAGAAGGTGCAAGAGTACATAAGGCCAAGAGGCCCGACGCAGAAAAGAAAAGCACAACAAATCAAAACAAGATCAAGGCCTAAAAAAGGAAGAGCTGTACTAAGTCAAAAACTGCTATGCCCTCGCCCGAGTGGCCGACGCCAACACGGCTGCTGGCACAGAACTGTCTGGAGATACAGTGAGATACAGGAACACGTGTCACTTTATCTTGAACGGTCTTATTTTCGCTTACTGGAAGATGACAGAGGACCTTGAACAAAGCCATGAATGAATACTAATTCAGATAACAAACAGGTCCAGCACAGTATAGTTGCATCCTACTATTTGATCTACCAATTTTAACCCCGTGACGAACAAATAGTTCTATAATAGTAGAAACATTTGCACCAGAAGGAATGATCCCCATGCATCATGTCATGAGTGTCAGCAGCAGGCAAGTATTCGCAAAGTATACTGATGAAGGGATGCTAGGCTGACAGGATGGGCATATGCCTGACCAAATTTAAGCAAGTACATACGCTAGAACAACACGTTGATCCAGTCCAAGGAAACGGACTAGGCAGCAGAGACGTCCCCCAAAATATGCATCTCCAACTACGTCAGACCAGACCAGACAAGCACCACAACAATGAACAAACTAGGCATCACATACTACGGGCTATCACAGCATCCAGTTCTACCATTGCAGAGGTATCAAGCAAGCAGGCAACAGGAAATAGGCACATTGGGCTACGCCGTATACAGAAGTAGAAAATAGTACTATACTAGTTTACAATTGCTACCTCGGCATCGGGGAAGCGGCGGTCGTGCTCGCGGATCCAGTAGAAGCCAAAGACGAAGAGCATGGCACGTGAGAGGGCGCGGCCGCAGCGCACGACCCACGCCCGCCTCCACCCCTGGAGCCGCGCGTAGCCCTCGCCCTCGCCCCCCGCCCGCTCCTCCTCCACCCACAGCGTGCACACGCGGCACACGAGGTAGTAGGCGACGAGCACGAGCACGCCGGCCACGACCCGGAGCGGGAGGAGCACGGCCGCGGCCACGGCCATCCGCGCCGCCTCCGCCGCCCCCAGGGGGCCGCGGCCCATGGGCCCGTACGCGTCCCGCCGCGCGTACGGAGCGTACCTCCGGTCCAGCTCCTCGGGGCTCTCCCGCGCCGCCGGTGCAGCGGCGGAGGGGGGCGGCTTGGCCGCGACCTCCCCCTCGCCGCGGATGCTGCCGTCGAGCTCGGAGGGGGCGGTGGCGGCGTCGACGGCCATGGTGGCGGAGACGGAGGGAGAAGCTTAAACCTAGCGGTGGCGGTGGCCTTAGCAAGCACTAGGTCTGCATGACGAGGAGAGAAGCGCCGCGGTGGGGTGGGGAGGTGGAGATGGGAACTTGGGAAGGGATTGATGGCGGTCGACTGGTCGGTGGTGGCGTGGGTGGGCTGGACACGGGGGAGGAGGACCACGGCGGGACGGGAATGGGGGGGAAGGGAGAAAGAGCGTGGGATTTGGATCGGACGGCTCAGGGCGTGCGAGATGGGTTTACCGGAGCTACGACTTTGCGTGGACGACTCGAACTAACCAGGCTCAACAGAATAGGCGCAAATGTGACGTGCCGTCGGCGGCAATGACAGAATTCGCCACGCGTACGTCTCAAATCCAATCCGTGACGGCGAACCAACTTCTATTTTTATATTCTTTTCATTTCATGAGTTGAACAGTTTATTGGATTGTTCTGGCGTTCCTCGAATGCTTGATAGATTATTCTGGAAACTGGGAGGAGTATGGAGGAAACAGAAAAAGGAAGTTTAATACTAAAAAAATAGCAAGAATCTTATTATGCATGTTCACTTTTCATATAGTATCAGTACATAATTTATATTGTTATTCTATAATTTAGCTGCTCGCAACAAGGATTATTTTTGCCCGAACATCCTTCTCACCCTTTTCCACCAGTTTTAGATGCTCGTGAATAGCATGTCCAGTCGAAATATTTTTTTTCATTATTCGTTTCGCTTTGTTTCAAAAGGTGTATCCCCATTGTATTGTTTTACTGTTTTTTTTCTGTCTATTATATAGTTTACACTAGTTAGTGGCTTGCGACATTACATTAGTTCCTATTGCATTTTGTACTAATGTGAATTGTACATTTTTCTAGGTTGCTGCATGGCATTTTATATTTTAAATAGTACATTGCATCTTCTTAGTTTATCTATTATTACCTCCGTACACTAATGTAAGATGTTTTTTGCACTTCAAATTAATGTACAAAAGGGACTGTGTTATTTGTATAAGTTTACCTCAGTCTCCGACTTTATTTGAACAAGCATTTTCTAATTAGGTCAATTGCATTTGTGTCATTTGACTAATGCATTTCTATTGTCTGTCTAATGTATTTCTCAGCCTCCTTACGATAAAATAGGGGAAATCAGAGAAAAAGGAACTGGTAGAAAGAAAGAACTAACCATTATACAAATATTCCTTGTGTGGTGATTCTCGTGCTTACTCTAAGAGGGTGTTTGCCATATTCCTATCTAATGAAATGAAAACTTTGAAAGAAAAAGGAATATTCTTACAAATCTTAGTATCTCCTTCCTCATTATTCATGGAGTGGTGATGACAAGTTTTTATAGGCAACAACATTCACTTTTTTTGCGAAAAAACGATTTTTTTTGTAACTATGATGATTTTTATAGCAAATTCGAAAACTATACACCCTAATGGAGAAAAATCAAAAGTATCACCCCGTCGGCCTCCTGTTGGCCGAAAAGGGACTTTTCGGCCAACCGTTGGCCAAAAAGGACTTTTCGGCCAAGCGTTGGCCAAAAAGTACTTTTCGGCCAACAGTTGGCCAAAGAGTCCCTCTTCGGCCAACACCTGCTCTACTGTTTAAAAAATTCATATCAAATAGGATTTTTAGTATTTTAATTTGATTCTTTTTGCATTAGATTAGAAATTTTATGAAGTTTCTGTAGATATCAAGTTTGAGTAGATTTGAAAGTTTGAATTTAATTTTTTCATGAATTTTCTCAAATAACTAGATTGCCTATAATTTAAGTTAGGAGTATTTTTTAAGATGATTCTTTTTGCTACTGGTTCTTTGTGAATTTGTTTAACAGTAGTAATTAATTGGCGAATTTTATAATTATTTAAAATTAGGTTTTTATGAAAACAGTTCTGTTTTAGTGTTTGTTAGGTTTTATGCTATTTCTTTTAATTTTAATTGCTTTAAATTTTTTCTTTAGTTTTTTGACATATTCTTTTTGTTTCTGTTTAGTTATCAGTAGCTATTTTATTTTTAGTATTTTTTATATTTTATTTCTTTTATCCTACTAGAAAACTTGTTTTGAGCTTCATAGGAGTTTATATTTAAAAGTGCCTTGTAAATCCTGTACAACCATTGCCATTTTATACATGAAAAAAAATACTTTCCCGCAATCTTTTTCCCTCCATTTTCTTTGCCGCCATTTTATTTCCCGCCATTCTCTCCCGCCACACTAAGGAGTGCTGCATCGACGGAGGATGACGATGATGCCTTCATGTGGAGTGTGAAACACTGTCTGAGAGAAGTCATAAGTGTTTGCAGCACCGACGCAGGAGACACAGACCGTGTCAGACGATGTTATCTACGATCGTCGACACCATGAGGCTCGTTTTATAAGTTGAGAAGTGAAGATGGCGAGAAAAAAGATGGCGGGAAAGAAGATGGCGGGAGAGAATGGCGGGAAAGAAAATGGAGGGAGAGAATGGCGGGAAATAAAATGGAGGGAGAAAATGGAGGGAGAGAATGACGTAAAAACTAATTTTAAATAATCCTAAAATTCACCAATTAATTAGTACTGATAAACAAAGTCACAAAGAACCACTAGCAAAAAGAATCATCTAAAAAGAATACTCCTAGCTCAAATTATAGGCAATCTAGTGATTTGAGAAAATTCATGAAAATTCAAATTCAAACTTCCAAATCTAGTCAAACTTGATATCTACATAAACTTCATAAAATTTTTAATCTAATGCAAAAAGAATCAAATTAAAATACTAAAAATCATATTTTATATGAATTTTCTAAAAAGTAGAGCAGATGTTGGCCGAAGAGGGACTCTTTGGCCAACTGTTGGCCGAAAAGTACTTTTTGGCCAACCGTTGGCCGAAAAGTCCTTTTTGGCCAACTGTTGGCCGAAAAGTCCCTCTTCGGCCAATAGGAGACCGAAAAATCCCTTTTCGGCCAGCAAGAGGCCGACGGGGTGATATTTTTTATTTTTCTCCATCAAAGTGTATAGTTTTCAAATTTGCTATAAAAATCATCATAGTTTCAAAAAAAATCCGAAAAAACAACATTCACATTATTTGGCACTAGTATGTGTAAACGCACATAGATTTAGGGCACCGCACCTGCGTAGACACCTAGACTATTAAAATTAATAATTAATTAGTTAGCATCGATGAAAGAGTCTTTATCCACAAGTTTGAGCACTTACAAGATTACTTTTTCGCTAAAAAAAGTTTAGCACTGGTTCTCTCCAACGCATGCTGCCGCAAAAAAGGGTTATACTGAAAGAAAGAAAAAACTAAGCCCTCAGTGACTCCCTCGGCATCAATGCCAGCCTAAATACCAAAATTGAACCGGATTAGAACGAAACTACCGGGAATCAAATCCTGGCGTCTATGCTAAGCGTCCGCGTTGTAGATGCCCTTAGGGCATCTCCATTAGGGACTCTTGTATAAGCGCTAAGAGAAAATAAAAAAAGGATTTTATGTTTAGCACCTGTGTAATAGTCCATGTCTCCAATGCTCGATGCTATGCATAGGCGCTACACACACACAAAAAAAAAGGAACATGCAGCTACGCTAGCGCCATTCTCCCCATCGCAGGAGCGCTGTACCAACAGTTGAGGCCACGAGATTTTCCAGCTACTTTTTAGCGCCCATGATAGCGCCCGGCTCCTCTGAAACAAACTGGCGCAGAAAAAAAAAGACAGGCGCCCGATGACTGGAGTTGCGTCGGCGCAAGCCGAAATCCTGGTATCGACCAGGAATTGGATGAAACGGCCAGGATTGGGACCCTAGCGCCCGTTGTAAGAGCCTGCATTGTAGATGCCCTTAGCATACAAGAATGGTATTGTTGTATTTGTTCTTAAAAGATCTCCATTGCTATATCTTTCTTAAAAATTAGACACGTTATAATTTATAACCAACACTATACGACATGCACGTCATCGTTGTAGTAGTAAACCTTCTACCGTACGATATGGTAATACTTCACCTCTCTAGTGTTACCTTCGAAGAGATTTCTTTTAGAACATGTACATGTAGCAGGACCCTTAGGCTTTCCACAGTGTGTTCGATGCCACAACTTTGAAAAGTATGCCACGCACACGACGATGCCAAATGAAATATATTTAGTACCTCCCGCACACTGTGAAAGAATTGGGCATTGATTGGAGGTCAGACTCATACATATAAACTAGTTATATATCAGCGACAGTTGCCCCACTACCAGCGACTTGTTCCTGGCTCACAGCTGGTTCTTCCCATGAGTGACAGGCTTAGTTTATTGCTTTGTTGGATGTGTCATCGGAGCAAGTAGATGCTCCGGTTCTCTGAAAAACAATTATGGCACTAGCTGGACAATGGAGGGCACCGGTATCAAATGAAGCAAAAGTGAATTTTGCATCGCTTTTGGCCTAAATAGTGGAGGGCTTATCTTAAAACTACAAAACCTTCCTCCTCCTATCCCATTTTCTTATAAGTTTTTAAAGGATTAAACATTTTTTTCACCTAGCATACCCCCTGAAACTTAAGCCCTTAAAAATCAAACATTTTTGCGCATACGCTCAATTGAACACGCATATTTAAACTAGGCACTTTCACGACGTTAACATCTTACATACCATAACTAACAGTTCAAGCCTACTACGTCAGAGACCAAATTGACATCATACTAGCCCTACCATCGATCTAAAACATATAAAAACTACAAACAACTACCTGGTGTGAATTGTATAATCCCGCGAACCATCAAGTCTTTGAACACAAGTTGCGCCCGAGGCCACTCGGGTGAGGGCACATCTACCTGGGGTCAAAACACACTCCCAAACCCCCTCACCGAGAATCAGAATGCGGCATATAGTGCCTTGTCTCGCAAGAGGCGGTGGGCCAATGTAACGCCCTCGATGCGGCTATATCTCCCACGTGTCGAGGCACGACTTAAAGGCATAACCGCATTGAAAGCAACACCGCAAGTTAGGCAATCATCACAACATCCCATGTAATAT